GGAGGAGGAGGAGGAGGAGGAGGAAGAGGAGGAGGAAGAGATGGACTGCATGTCCTTGATGCTCCCAGAGCTTGGTGGTTTCCTTGCAGACATTTCATGACCCAACTAGGCAATATCATCAGTGGTAAAGAGGAGTGGGATTTGTGAGGAGGAGGGGGAGGGGAGGGGGAGGAGTAGGACTTTGGGGTCCTTCCTGCTCTTTCAGCTGGGTGGTTTTCTCGCAGACGTTTTTTGACCCAACTAGGGAACATCATCAGTGCTAGAAGGGAGGAAGGTTTGCAAGAGAGGAGGAGGAGGAGGAGGAGGACTTGGAGGTCCCTGGCGCTTTTCTTGCAGACGTTTCGCCACCCAGCTAGCGAGCATCATCAGTGCCTCCCTTAAGCGCCTGCTTCCCCTTCCAGACGCCCAAGAAGCCCCTCTGAGCTGCTTCAAGGAGTTGAACATGCGCGGCGACCGCTTTGGCAACTGTGGCAAGGACGGCTCGGGTTTTCAGAAGTGCCTGGAGAAGTAAGCGGGCTCTCTGGGATGTCGGCTTCTTCCTTGCCCGTCGGGGGTTTGCTCGGGCCTGGCAGAGAACGTGTGTGAACCCGCAAGTGGTGCTGAGACCAACATCACACCGTGGTTTGAAACAGAGCAGAGCGCAACCCTGTTTGCGACCGCCACCAAATCCGTTTTGCCAAAGGGCCAGGCGAAAACGGAGGGTCATTTTGGATCTAGAGCAGGGGTGGGATTATCACCAGTTTGGACTGGTTCGAACAAACCAGATGTTCAAGTTACATCTAGCTTGCTGAACCAGGTATTTGAACCAACCTGCTGGCCCCACCCATCCCATGTCGGGGCTCCGACAAATCCACCCCACCCCCCCATTCCAATCCTAAGTCTCTAGCCGCATCTCTCAGAGTAGAAAAACATTGATTTATTAGGAGTGGCCATGTCGGCGTTAGCTGGGTGCAGCCGACACTAAAATACACCATTCCTTTCCCCCTGGACCCTGGTCTTCCCCCCCCCCCCCCCCCTGGATGTATATTCTCCAATGGGACACATCCATAGCCAAGAGTCATCCGTCCTGCTCTCCAGTAATAATCTTGTGCGCCAACAGCTTCGGCCACCTAGCGATTATCCGAAGCATTTAAGGAATGTACTGCTTTCTCTTCCTGCTGGCAACTAAAAGACTAAAGGAGTATTGTTTTTTAGTTGACACCTTGCCCCTCCCCTCCCAGGAGCCTCTACGCAATGCAGGTAAGTGCAGGGTCTGCACAGAGGCTCTGGGAGGGGGGAAAACGGCCCACCCAGAAGTTCTAGAAATCCGGAAATGGGCCTGTTTCCCGTTTCCGGCGGGCCTCCAGAGCCCAGGGGAGGCTGTTTTTGCCCTCCCAGAGGCCCAGGGGAAGCCTCGGGACCCTTGGAAGGGCAAAAACAGTCTTCCCTGGGCTCTGGAGGCCCGCTGGAAACGGGAAACAGGAAGTCCCAGTCAGCCACACCCAACATGGCCGTACCCACCCAGCGACTGGGCAGCGAATCGTGGGCAGTGTGGGATATTTGGATCCCACCCCTGATTCAGAGACAATGGCCACTCGAGGGAATAAAATAAGTTTTGGCTTTATTATTCACTCCGGCAAAACGAGTTAAAAACACAGCCTTAAAAAGCAACAGGTAGTCCTCAACTTACAACACTTCATTTAGGGACCATTCCAAGTTACAACGGCACTGGACAAAAGCGACCAATGACCATTGCCACATCACCAGGGTCACGTGATCCCCTGTCATGCCCCTGTCAGAATCTGACTCAGAGGGGGAGGCTGAGCAGCTGACAGGGAGAAGGAGTGTGGTTCCGTTGGCTGCGGAGGGAACTGGGGAAGGGCAAAGTCCAGCTGGGCAGAGCAGAGGAGAGGTAGAACAAGGGAGAGGGAATTCAGAGGAAGACCTAGGCCCCCACCCCCTCTTCATCCTAGGGCACACAGGGAGGAACAGAGAAGGGAGCAACGTGGGTTGCATGGCTTACAGGGGGAGGAAAGGGCCCTGATTCCCTTCATTAGGCACACCTGGGAATAAGAGTTTAAAAGAGATGCATGCTGAGAGCGACATCGACAAACATGAATTTATCTTGTGTTGACTTTGCTTATCTGAGTTCCTGGCATCCTCCCAACTGTGTTGAGTTATTGCTGTGCCTTCACATCTGGAATTCTTGCTCCTGCCCTGCCGGACTAATGACCTCGTTTTGCCTTGATTGGACTTTAAGTTACAGTTTGTGTTGACCACGTTTTGGACTGGATTCTCTGCAGCCCAAGGCTGTTCCTGGGAGAGTTTTTCTCCAACCCAGAAGGTAACCAGGACACTGGGGGGCAAAGTTGGAGCTAAGAAAGGGACTCCTAGTGATTATCTGACTGGGTTGCCTTTGAGCCACGCCCCTTTGGGTCATCACATCCCCTTTTGCGATCTTTTCGTGAACAGAAGTGAACAACTGTCTTACCAATTTAACAAGGGCAGCGATCCACTTAACAACCATGGCAAGACGTGTCGTAAAACGGGGCGAAATTCATTTAACCAAGGTTTTTGACTAAGCGCCATCAACTTTAGAGCTCGATTGTGGTCGTAAGTCGAGGACTAACCGTACAGCAAAATGTGAAATTACAGCGGCCAGTTACACAGTTTTCGGTTCTTTTTGTTTCTTTTTTTTTTAAAATAAAGTTTTATTAATTTTCTACTATTACATTTATTTAGTGCTTAATAAACACCGTGTTGTCTGGGCTATTTTTGTTTGCCTGACAGTACAAATTATATTCCTAATCTTTACCCGTTTTTCCCAGCCATTGATAAAATAAATACCATCTTTGGTCGTATTCTGCGCCTCCTTTCTGTTGAATCTTCAATGTAAGTCTGTCCATTTCTGCACAATCCAATATCTGCTTAATTATATCTTCATCGAGTAGTATTTCTTCATTTTTTTTTCCCAATGCTGAGCAAATACGATCCTCGCTGCTGTTAATATATGTATCAACGCATAAAATATGTCTTTTTTTTTTTTTAAGAGTTGCCAACAGACAGGGAGGAGGGAGCAGTGCAGCAGTTAGGAAACCAAAAGTGCATTCCATAAATGTTTTCTAAGATAGTAACTAGGTGATCGAAGTTTCTGCTGTGCAGAATTCTAACTGGAGATCATGATAGATGATTCTGGGCTATGGATGTGTCCCATTGGAGAATAGGAATTATGATACACCCAGGAGGGGCGGGGGGTGGGGGAAAAACAGGGTCAAGGGTGACAATGAATGGTGTGTCTCAGAGTCGGCTACACCCAGGTAGTGCTGGCATGTTTACTCCCAATAAATCCTTTTCAAGTTTTGGAAGTTTGGCTAGAGACTGAGGATTTCAATGGGAGGAACTGCTGGAATCCTGATAATATGCAATATTAAATATAGATTTTGTTCATTTTATTTTTTTTCCTGATATTATACCTATTTTTTAAAAAAAATCAGATTTAAGATCTACACAGTACTCGGTTCTTCTGTCTTACTCTACGACTAGGGATGTCCTCTGTGGGCGAGTGCAGTGCATTAACGTGGGGAAAATCTCGAGCATCACGACGGGGCAAGAGGTACTCCAGACTCCGGTGGAGGACATCGTGTGTTGGGGGACCGAATTTGACCTGGGGGAGGATGTCTATGACCTGGGAGACGCGCGAGATGGAACCACCTGCGGACCCGACAAGGTGAGCCCAAACCACCTTCCTGGTCCTGAGTCATCAAAAATCTCCAAAATTTCTTGGGTCAACCCTGAAGTTGGCTGCGTTGTGGCTGTTTTCCCTTTTGTAGTTTTCTAATGGGAAGTTTCTCTTCTTCCTTCCTTCCTTCCTTCCTTTCTTCTCTCATTCCTTCAGGGCTGAAACAGCCTGGAGTGAAGGGGCCAAGGAGAGGAGGGGTATAGAGATAGCTGGGGTCAGGGCTGGGCTGCTACGGGTTCAAGCGAACTGTTAGAGAACCAGTAGCTAATTTTATGATCGGTTCATAAACTCATAGAATAACAGAGTTGGAAGGGACCTTGGAGGCCAACTAGTCCAACCCCCTGCCCATGCAGGAGAGCCTATTCGAAAGATAAGCCTCTGCCTAGGATCGAACTCACACCCTCTTGATTGTGAGGTGAGAGCTCCACCTCTAGGCCACTGGAGCTGCACAGTTCGATGAACTGGCAAATCCCACCCTTGGGTGGCCCTGCCCACCTGCCCACCTGCCCCTCCCAGAAGTCTCCATGCGGCCATTCTGGATCCCAAGTAAGTACAGGGCATGTTTGGAGGGTCAGGGAAGCCAAAATATGGGTCTCCCAGAGGCTTCGGAAGGCCAGAAATGGATCAGAGGGCCTCCAGAGCCCGGGGAGGCCATTTTCACCCTCCTGGAGGCCCCAAAAAAGCCACCGGAGCCCAGGGAGGGTGAAAACGCCCCCCCATGATGCAGGAGGCCGACTAGGCCACGCCCACCATGGCCACGCCCACCCAGCAACCAGGAAGAGAACCCGGTTGCTAAAATTTTT